CTTGGCTGAGTGTTAACCCAGCCTGGAAAAACACCAGCCCAGTCTCGTGGGCTCTCTCTCTTGCAGGGCTGCTTGAGGCTCTCAATCCACTCTCTCTTATTTATATAGCCCCGAATTCTGATGTTAGACATAAATATGAAAGAGCCTTGATAAAAATGGCATTCAAAGCCTAATTTGTCCCTTTGTTAAAGGAGCTGTTGAACAGAGCAATTCACATTTGTGCTCCTGAAACCAAAAGGCAGCTGGAAATAGTAAATTCAACATTTTGCTTTTTGAAAGTCATATTTTAAAAATTGTTCCAAGCACTGATTCTATTACACTCCATCTTTGTAGCTGCACTCTTACCAAGGTGTGGGTGAGCTGCAGCTGGTGGAGGAGCTGGTGGAAGGTAACTCTGTGTGAAATCTGAAAGACCTAATGGCAAACCAAGGCATTCCTCTGGTCACATCCCCCAGAAAAAGCAATTTAAATAATGATTTTTGCCTTGCATTTAGGCACCTGGCAGTGAAGTTCACATAAGTGCCTGCTCCTCGTGCTGTGCTCTTCTGCAGACTTTTTGCTCACATTTTGGTGGGTGACCAGCCACATTTCCAAAAAGACAAACCAAAGAGACAACACAGTTCTGGCATGATTTAATCAAAAGATTGTTTCTTTCCAGAGGGTGTGGATAAAAGTAGCCCTGAGTGGAGGACAAAAAGCAGCCCCACATTTTACATTAGGGATCTGTCCCTGCACAATTCACCTCCCACTGCTGCCTCCGTGGGTGCAGATGAGGGAAGAAGGCTGCAAGGTTCATTTATTTCTTGATTTCTGCTTCCAAATGTCATTTCTACCTGACAAGGTGGGAGCACCCAGCAGGAACAGCTGTGGCATGTGGGAATAGGTGGGAGATGCCATCCATGGGAATGCTGTGCTCTGCCTGAAGAGAATTCCAGCACAGCAACATGCCCAAGCCTCCTCCACAACACAGGGCAATCTTTTTAGGAAATGCCACCATTTCCACCCACCCCAGCCAGGGCTCTCCATCCTGGCTCCTGGATCCCCTGTTATGCCACTGAGCTGGAGCAGAGGCAGCAGGGCAGGTCCTGCCTGCAGCCTTCCCACAAAAAACATCTTTGGAAAGGGTCAGAGAAGTGATACTGACCCTCTGTCTTTCACAACACCATCGAGTTTTGGTGTAAACACAGAGTTCATGTGTTGGGCAGTTCCTGAAAAAGTCACTGACCAAGGGAACAACAAATAAATATCCCAAATAAGTAAATAAACAAATAAAAGAAGATGGTGTTTTAGCTTTGGGAGTCTTTTTGGAAAATGGCATAAAATGGGTCACACAGAAAAGGGCAGCAGGCAGATCATGTCCTGAGGTGGGCTCGGGGAGGTGACAGCGTCAGGAGCTCCCAAATTCAGGATCCTTCCACAACAGCAGATAGTTGCTCCTAAAATTGCATGGAAAACTAATTCCCCCCTGCCCAGGATGCAGGAGGGATGGAAGGGAAGCTGCTCCTGCCTGTGGTGGGAAATGCCTTGGAGGGGTCTGAGGAACACAGAGAGCACCAAGCGCTGCCCCTCAGTGAAAGGACAGCACTGGAAAGCACAATAGAAGCAACAGGAGTTGGGGAAAAAGCTATTTACTATTTTAGCAGTTCTTACTCTTTTTCTAAGCTACCTCATGTGTTCCCAAGCATAAAACCACCAGTGATGTCATTTCAGAGGGCACCAGCAGAAACACAGAAAAAAGCAGCTGCTTTATGATCTTTCTGCCTTTGTGTTTTTGTGTTTTGCCTCAACATCTTTTTCACTCTCTGCGAATGCACAACTTTTACAGAGCCCCATTTTTACAGAAAGAATCTCCCTTTTGGAGGCTCAGCTACCTGCCTGAACATCTGCAGGGGGCTGAACACATTCCCCTTTTATGGGGAAGCTTCAAACAGGGTTTCTTCATTTTCAAAATGCTTCCAAGCAATTTGTCATTTTCCTTCCTCTTCAATTTTTAAATTTTATTTTTGTCAGTGGATGGTGCACACAATATTGAGCAATAATAACCAGAGGAGGATGAAAACTGCAGCTTGAGAAGTGAGCTCAGGATATGATTCCTCCTCACCGGATGCCTGGAAGATGTCACTGAAATTCTCTCTCCCTTAGTGCAACCCGTGTGGAGCCAATATGAACTCCCAGCAAAGTGCTTAAAACCCCATTATTTATAATAACTGTTAAATGATGAGACATTGTTTACCCAGATTGCAAGATAAATTCTCACTTACAGAATGCTTGCCTGACCGTCCTGAACGTCATCTGGTTTTTATTTAAATGCAAAATGAAATTAGGCTCCCAATAACACAGCAGAAGAATTCAATAAGATGGGGCTTTTCACTTACAGTTTAATATTAACATTTTCCCATAAATGTTAATGAATAAAAGTCTACTGTTTTATATATTATCCATGGTGGGGAGACAGCAGGCTAGGAATGGAAGGAAAGCTAATCTTTTCATACCACAAATTAGGATATATACTTCAAGGAGGACTAAGTGTTCCCAGCATTGCCAGGGACCTGGCCACAACCCTCCTTCCTCCAGGGGCAGCCACCAGAGCTGATCCCATGGGGATGCTCCAGGGAGTCTCCACTGATCACTGAGATCCTCCCCCAGCCAAAATCCCTTTGGCTTTGTTTCTCATTTTCCCTGGCCCTCTCTTTCTGCCTGCCCACATCCCCCAAGGCACACTGTGAGCATCGAACATCCAACATCATCAGTGCCCAGCAAGCCCTGATGCTCCCAGACTCCAGCACGGAGAACAAGGCAGGATTACTGGGAAAATCAGGTGACTCTGTGTGATATTCTGTTAGAGAAAGGTGCAGGGTGATGGGAGGTGACAGGGAATGATCCAGCACCCAAAGGGAGAAGTAGCTGGAGCAGATCCTGTGGTGGAAGAGGGGCTGAGAGGACCACAGGGTTGGCTCACACTGCAACGTTTGTATTGCCTTGGCTCTTGATTTCCCATTTACTGCAGAGGGTTTGCTGTGTTAATGTGTATTTTGCTGTTTGGTGACTCATACTTCACCTTACCTCTCTAATAAGTGTTCATTTAACAGTTTGACTGCTTAACAATTTATTGCACAAATGGGTTTCCATTCCACAGCCTCCTCTCCCATCTCCCCTGGAGAGGGCAATGCATAGTTTATGAGAGCTCTGTGATGGCCTGTGCTGCACATCCCAAAAATCAGCAAATACTCAACGGCTCTCTGGGGCTGCTGGGTTTGGGAGGAGGGACAGGAACTGTCTTGTCTTTATTCTGCCACCACCTCAGCAGCTGCAAGAGGTTTTGGCTCACAAAACAGCTGTAAAAATACCAGTCCTGGTTCAAATGCTGGGACCCGAGGGCTCTTATACTTACTGAGAGAGATATGCTTGCCATAAGTCATATACTACACAAAAACACCACAGAAAGACTCCTAAAAGGAATGACAAGGTAATTATAGGAATTACAGACGGAAAAATCCCCTTGTCTCCTGCCCCCTTCCCAGTGTGGGACCGCTCAGTGTGGGGCAGGCTTCAGGCCTCAGACTTTTAAAGGGAAGATTTAATAAACACTGAGAAATATTTCTAAATATTTAGAAAACCCAAAATAACAGATTTCCAAGCCAAGCTGTGCAAACAGAAAATGAATTTAGGAAACTTGTTAAAAACCCAACAGCTTTTGCGTGCACCAAAACACATTTGGGTAGCAGGAATCACCTCGTGGGCAGGATGCTGCAAGCAGAGCTGGGAGGATGCTCAGCCCTGGGGGAATACCTTACCATGGCTCTCCTCTTGCTGCCCCTGGAATCACCAGCAGAAGCCTCAGGGATGCAAAGAGCTTCATGCTTTAGGAGGGACTCAGCAGACAATCAAATGTGAGCAAAGCCAAGCCAGACAGGACAGAGCTTTGAATTTTCCTGTGAAATTCTGGAGTGCTGCAGTTAATTTGCTTAATTATTAGGAGGGAAAACCACAACCCCAAGCAAACAAAAAAAACCCCCAACACAGCAGCAAATCTCCAAGGGAAAAAGGGAACTGTGTCTCTGTTCACTGCTTTTGAGACAAAGCACTAGAAGAAAAATGTCCAGTTCCAATAATGTCATAACCTGATTACAGCCTGACCAGAAGAGCTAAAACACTTGCAGAACAATGAGTAAGAAATTAAGTTTTAAATTGAGTGCTGGCCCTATCTCGTGTCACTTCTTTATATTCCAGTAGAAAGGACACTGCTGAGCTCATTTCATATCGAGCAGAGTGAGATGCCTGGATGCAGACACCATTTAGTCATCTCCTATATGTTCCTCCCCATTTCTTTCTCCGGGAGGAATGACAAATCCAGGAATGTGACTGCACTTTGTTTTATTATGATATTGATTTTTCCTGCAGAGGGGAAAGTGCATTTATCCCCCAGGTCCGTGTGCTGGCAGGGAAGGGTTAACAAAATGTTTATCACAAAGCTGGCTTCAGAGTTGAAAGTAATGTGATCAGTAATGAATTTTGTGTTACATTAGGTTGTATAAATGGACAGACAAGCGCAGACAACAAGTGGCCAGGAGTCGGGGCTAATCTAATGATGTAAAAATAGAGACAGCACCAATTATACTTGGGGCCAGCTCAGAGCTCCTGCAGGGACTGCAAATGAATAGGTACAAATCAAATTACTGACTAATAGACGCACTACAAGAGAGGGCAGTCAATGCTAAATACATTAGGGCCTTGTGACCTCTCTGCTCTGAACAGCAGAATCCTAAATTTGACTTAAAAAAAAAAAAATCAAAGAAACTCTTGTTCATTTAAGGAGAGCAACAGAACAATGTTATTTGTGAAATGACTTGAGACACTTTGATATTTTTTGGTTTGTCCCCCTGTGGCCACGTTAGGTACGTGGCCCTTGGAAAGCTGAGAGAGGGTTTGCTTTTAGAACAAGGGAAAATACTCTTTGTGCAAAAGTTAAGACCTGATAACAATACAGTTATGTTACATACCAAAACATTTCAAAGCCATGTGCCTCTTTGTGGTGATGTTTTTTACTGCTACTTCACCGGCTGTGTCTGTATCAAAAATAAAATATTTCTTAAATAAAAAGGCCTTGATTTAATGAGAAGATAAAGAAAAGGAATCTCCCCACACCACAGTTGATAATAAGCAAATGCAGTTGATCAAGATTGTTATCAAATGGCAGAAAGTCAGAGGTGTCTTGTGGCATCAGTGCTCCCTTTAGAATTTTTCTACAAACAGCAATGAACCTGAATTCACATCAGAAATATTCATGGTATCAGCATTCACACCCCCTCCCCCTTAAATAATGAATGACCTGGAAGAAATTCCAGCAAAACCTCCCAGGGCTGGTGGCAAGATTGGATTTGGAGACATGGGAAATGACTGGGAAATTAAAAATGCCCTTGCTGGACCTGCCCAGGGCCGTGGGATGGGGCTGCTCAGGGACACCCTTGGACAGGAGAGAGCAAAAAACCCACACTGAAGTGCTTGAGATCCCAAAATGTGTGCAAGGTCAAGGCTCCTCTCATCCAGCACTTCCAAAATGGTGGCTCCTGAAGAGTCTGAATTTTCCTTTCTTTTCAACCAGTCCCATCCAAATGAACCTTTTGTAGGAAGAACTGCACTGAGCTCCCAGACTTATTGGAGGGGGTAATTTAATCTCTGACCCTGGGATGAATATTCTGAAAGTTCAAAGGCTGCTTTTAGCATCGATGTTATTTGATCCACCAGTGGGTTTGCTGCCCAAGCTGGTTTTGCACTGAACCTATGCAGAAATCTCCTGGCAGAAATGCTCTTCAGGGGGAAAATAATTTGCTCTGTGTATCTATAGCCCACGCCTGAGTTAGGATAAAAAACAGCTGAGGAAAGAGAAGGGGAAAATTGTCTTAGAAAAATTAAAGAGGAAGGAAGGAAGAAAGGATAGAAGGGAGGGAGGGAAGGAGAGAGGGAGGGGAAGGTACCACTGAAAGCTCAAACTCTCTAAAGGGCTAATCCTATTCCTGAAACTAAATGTACACGTACATCAGTGTCCAGGTGGCTGCTGATCTTGGAATAAACCTTGTGAGCATGGATATTTTCTCCTGTGGAAAAAACCCCAGGAAGGATGGTCCTTGAACAGGAGCCACCTTGCTCATCCTCCCTTTGCTTCCCACCTCAGCCAGGCACTCCAGGAAATGTGTGACTTCCCTTCTCCAGCCCCCAAATTTCACAGGAAGGTTCCAAAACCATCCCTCTGCAAAGCTCAAAGGTGTCCAGACTCAAGTTAGGCTCAGGCTTTGGGCTTTGGCTGGGGAGCAGGACCCAAAGTGCCTGGAGCCCCCATCCCGGGTTTCCTACAGGCCATTCCCTAACAGCACATCTAATTAGCTCCACTTACTTACATCCCATTAATCAGGTTAAAGAGTTTGCTTCAGCATATGAGCTTCCTTCAGCGCATTATGAGTCTGTTCATGAAATTTGGAAGGAATCCAGGCAGTTTCCTCTGAGGTGCACCTCACTGTGCCTCCCGTGGGTGAGAGGTGACTTGGAGGCTTGCAGGAGTTTTGGAAGAAAGATGCATTTTAAAAAACAACCTGTTGCTTCCCTACTATAGGCTGGTTTTAAATATTAAGCCTGGAAGTGATCAAAATACACTGGAAAGCTTAAAAAATGTACTTGCTGAAGGAATAGGTGAAGCAGAGGATTTATTAATTAGTCTTTTTGGATGGAAAGATTTCTAGCCTGAGCTGACAATTTCCTCCTGCCTAGTTTGAGCGGAATCCTGTCAGAGATATTTGTCTTCTGGAAGCAGAGTTTCATAAATCACAGTCCTAGGGTGGTTTTTATTTTTGGGGGGGAATGCAATATGAAGCTCCAGCACACACTTAAGAACTGCACTGCAAATGTAAATATTGTAGCTGCTTGAAAACAAAGCTTTGCAAGCAAAAGAGGGCACTGACCACTAACATTTGTGTCTAGACTTGCATAATTTTTTCTTTTCAGTGAGAGTTTGACAGAAACTGGAACAGCAAAAACATCTTTTTTGCATCTTTGCCAATTTATGCCTTCCTTGGAATTAAATGTGTATCTGGGCTGACAGCTTATGTACAGCAGACTCCACTTCAGATAGACATGGGTCATCTGAATAATTGGATAACAAGGGGAAAAGCTGGTTTCCCAATCAAGCCAACTAGCTGGACAACTGGAGTTATCATTTAGGTCACAAGGAAAGGAGATTTTTGGGGGTTTTTTTCCAGCCCTGGTTCTTCTCCCACCCCCTGTCCGACAGCCCTTGGCACGGAGTGGGAGGTGGAACAGCCCCATCTAATCCCCCTTTCCTGCAAATGCCAGATTATTCCTGATGTTTTCAGCATCCTCCAGCTGGATTTTCGTGCTGTGACCAACCTTGGGGTATTTCTGCCCCTGCAGTAGCCAGAGCCAGGGTTAGTGCTGCCAGCCCTGCTTTGCAATGCAGGAGGCAGGTACAAAACAAAGACTCTGGGAATGTCAGCTCCCCAAAGTGCTCTGTGCACCACAGCACACACTCCCTGCACACCACTGCAGCCTATCAGCCCTGATTTCTATATAAACCCACGTGTCAGCTATGCCCTAACAGTTAAGGCATTAAAAGAATCTATTTATCTCTTGCCATTAAGTGCATGTCAGGACCAGTCGAGCACTTGACAAAGTCTCACTGTCCACCCTACTGCCCAGTTTTTGCCCACACATTGGACCCCAGCACTGCACATGCACAAATTTTCACATTCCCAGCTAGAAATGTTCATTAATTTGTGCTGAGGTTTGAGTAAGATTTTGCAAGTTTTTGTTAAATCTTTGCAATATCTCTTTAAGGACTGAAGAGAATCCACGGAGCACAATCAGAGGTTAAAGCATGCAAAACATAAAGGCATGAATAAATTAAGTTATTTTAGGATTATTAAAAGGATTATAAATTCCACAATTTTGAGTCCCATGCAGAAATATAAACACTGGTTTTGAAAGAAGCAGCAAGACAGACAACAAACAAAACTCCAGTGTCCTTTTCTGCTGAACTCTTTGCTGTGGTGAGTGGGCAGCAGAGAACCCAAGGAGAAAAACTGAGTTTTTTTCAAAGATAATTCAGTTCAGCCAAGCTGGGTTATGATATAAGTGGTTTGGGGGAAGTGAAAACTCTCCTACTTGTTATGAGCCAACAAAGACACCTTTTTTTTGAAGTGAGGGTAATGCAGCTACACACTTATCTCTGTCCATTTATTAAGCAGCAGACAGATGAGAGCCCTTCCCTGTGCTCCCCAGGCTGAGGAATGGTGCTGGCAGCCAGCTCCAGCCCTCTCCCTCAGTGAGTGCAGCTCTCCAGGTACATCTGAGCAGGGGAGAACTTTTTCTGTCTGTCTGCTAAAGAGGAACAGCTCAAGAGCTGTTAGGGGATGGAAGTGGAAAGGGCACGGGAGTTCACCCTCTTATCACCAGGTTTTCTCTGCTGCTCTGAGTCACCACATGCCCAAATCCTGAGAATAAAGTGTGTTAGTGGTGGAGAGAATGCCACGACAGGCAGGGCAGCACAGAGTGTTAATGACAGGGAGAGGAGGGTGGTGGGATGGGGTGAGCTGGGTCAGTGCTCATGTTACTCATTATTGCTGCGTAAAATCACTGCTCTGAGATGGCATCTATCTTACACTCATTAGGGAGATTTATGGGGCTGGAGCAAGGGCTGGGAGAAATCTCTCTGGATGAATATTAACTCAGTGATGGCATCTCTATAAACAGCTCCTTTCTGTCTTTACACCTGCAGGACTGTGAGCCTCATCTTATGCCAAAGAAGCTGGGACTCGCTGCCATCAGCTGGATTTGGTGAAAATGGAAGGAAAATACAGAGCCCTGTCTCTGACAAAGTTCTTGGTTTACAATATAATACATTGTCAAGTCTCCAGGGCAGTCAGTCACCCTAACCTGGCCCATCTGGAAGGCTTCAGCTTTCAGAGGAGGTATTCCCCTCACCTTTCCCCTTCCACAGACAGCCTGAGGGGTGCTGACCCATTATCAGCAGTGGATGCCCTCCCAAAGTTCACACTGATCACAGCCTGGGTCAGTAAGTGATGAAATATGTGCCTTTCTCTATTTTCATAGCCTGCTTTTTCCACCTTCCCCAGCCCTTTACAGACATGAGCTGATTGAAGTCCACACCAGCAAAGTGAGGCATCTCTATCCTCACTGCTCTGCTGGAGCTCTGGACTCCTGGACTCATGAAGTGTCCTGGCCAAGGCAAAAAGCTGGTGAGGATTTGCACCAGAGCTGCAGCAGACTCACCCCCAGTTCTCAACCAAGCTTTTCTGTTAATTCCAAATCTAAGTCACCCTTTGATTTCATCCCTCTCAAGATGGAAAGCAGAGGAAGGCAGCTGGCAAGGTGACCAGCTGGGTTATGAAGGGGTTTCTGCACTGGTTACTGCTGCCTGGACCTGCAGGCAAGGGCTAAAATCCTGCTCCTCTGCATCCTTCTCCTCCAGTTTGGTACCTGCTCCACAGTGAGCAAAGTCAGGATGAGCCCTGATGGCAGAGACTTCTCGAGGAGCAGGGAGAGCTCAGAGCAGCACAAGACCCTCAGTGACACAAGGGCAAGAGCAAAAGGAAGAGACAGCTCCTGCTCTTCCTGAAAGATCCATAGGTGGGCATTCCCACACCTTCCTGCTGGTTTCTCCTCTTTTGCCTTCCCAGGCAAGCTGCCAGGAGAGTGACAAGTGAGTTGGCAGCTGATGTTAGGGGCCACCATCACTCTGAGGTGTTTTTACTGGAGGTGTTTTTTGGAACAAGTCGAAATTAATGGAGACAATAAAGCCGCAGTAACTGCGCTTTAATTTCTGAGCATCTCCTGCCACGGGGCCCCTCCTGACAGCCTAATCTCTGATGTGCCATTCCATTTACTTAAACAGATGATACAATTTATCAATATAATGGACACTGATGAAGATGGATTAATTTGGATTACAGAACCAGCGCTTCACAGTGGCTCTGCTGAGGACACAAAATGAGGATATGTGTGATTATGGCATTGTTTGGAGCAGGGCAGCAATCTGCACTGCAGGGGATGCAGCAGAGCCCTTGTCCCAGCTATATGATAAGGAAGCTTCATGTGCCAATATCTCAGACTGTGTTTATGTGATCTACCACTAACTTCCTTTTATAAATGACTTCTGTCCCACTGAGATCCCCACAAAAGTCAATTAATCAGACAGAATGAGAGAGAGAGAGAGAGAGAGAAGGAGCATACAGAGAAAAGAAAAAGCGAGACTTAAAAAAAAAAAAAAATTTAAATAAAAATCACCATTGGGTGAGATGTACGTGATCTCTGATCACACCTCTTCTTTGTACCTGTTCCTGATCCCACCATGTCCCTGCTGGGGGACTCGCACATCGCGTCGGCCAGGCGCTCCCGCAGCCCCTCCTCGCTGTGCTCCATGGAGGACATGTGGCGCAGACCGAAGTTCTCGGGCCAGCTCCCACACACCTCCAGCAAGGTCACGCTCCGGTCGAAGGCACCTTCAACAGACAAACGGGACACGTGTGGGACACCAACCTCCTTCTGCGTGTGCCTGGAAAGATGGGTTTAGCACGGGAGTGGAAAGGTTGGTGTCACAGCACAGCACGGCTGAACCCTAAGTATGAGCCAGCTTCGACCAAGCAGCTGTAATCAAAAAGGGGAAACTAAAATACAGACTGGTGAGAGTCAGGAAAGCAGCACAATAACACAAATGTGAATGGCATGAATGTATTTTTATGTTAGGCAACCAGGAATTATTTTTGAAGTTGATTAGTCTTCCACTGGGATGCTGCTGAGATGCTTCGTCCCCCTCCTCATCTTGGACAATGGAAAGAGTTATTTTGCCTTTGCTAATGGGCAGGAATTTTACCTAAATTCCCTTTCCTGCTCTGAAACAGAGAAGAGGCAGAGCTGCCTTGTGCTGATGAAGGAACAAATGGATGCCTTCCCTCAGTCTGGGATATCTGTGGGTTTTCTCTGCTCCTGCACTGGGAAGTTTTAGCTCAAACGTGCTCTAACAGAGGCTTTTTCACCAGTAGCCTCTGCTGAAGACTCTGGTTCTTGTGAGAGAGAGCACGTACCTACAAAAGATCCTCCAAATAATTCCTTGACTTGCAGTTATTACCTCATTCACAGCAGGGTATGATGTTCTGCCGAATGCAAAGATTAGATTCTGAATTCAGGATCACTTCAAAGTACAAATTAAAATTATTCTCCTTTATTATACAGCAAGTCTTCTGCGAAGGCTTACTTAAATCATTCCCACTTGGAACAAGATTACAGTTATGCTTTGTTCCTTCAAGCACATACCATTTACTCCACTATTAGGTAACTGAATATGCAGCGTTCGTTGTGCCTGGTTTCTGCCAGCCTGCCGAGGGGAAAAAACGCAAATGCCAATGTTTCTCAGAGTTAAAAGTACATGAAACACGTCCTTGTTATCAGGCCTTTGGTTTTCCCCTTTGATCAGCCGTCAGAAACTATCTACACTTGTAGTCTGTGACTGTACAGCTTCACAGCACACTCCCTGCCACTGACAGGTGGTAATAGAAAGGGTGAGAGACCGAGCCCCGCGGCAGGCGGCCCTTCCTCTGATAACGCCCCAAGTACCGGCTGATAACGTTGGTAAACACTCGGCCAGCCAGTTCATCCATACATCAGCAAAGAGGGGCCAGATAATTCTCAGCTCTAATGGCACGGGCTGAAGCGCCAGGGCTGGCATTCAGGGATTTATATGGGCTGCAGTGGTGACTCCTGGCTCCTGAATTTCATCGGTGTTGATTTATCTCCTGGCCTGGCTGCGGAGTGGATTCCTGGCACTGGAAAACCATCAGCACTGAGATGGACTCCACCAAAAGGGACCCTGGCTCTCTGTGATGCACGCACTTGAACTCTGGATGAATCCCAGTTTCAGCCCAGACGAGGAATGACCAAATATTTCAACTTCTAATGGCTCTCTGGATTTATAAGGTTGCTCCAGTCTACTAGTTTGTTTTAAAATGAGGGTTCTTGAAGCTTGTTTGAGAAAATGCAGGGAGGAGGCGAAGTAATTTCTATGATGTTTAAATCTCTACAGCATTTTCATGATGTCAGCCTTCCTAAAGGCAGGAGGAAAAGCAAAATTTGGGGGGTTTTTTAAGCTTTTTTCCCCCCAAGTCATCCTTCTACAGTTTCATGCAGCCCTGAGACCCCCTCTCCAAACCCCATGGATTTCAGTTGTTTTTGACAGAGCTGTTCATGTACCCTGAGAGTGATCAGGGGGACTTTAAAACCTGCTTCCCAAACTTCAGGGAAGCAGCAGGGACACGATGAGCTCCCACAGGTTTGCAGGGCTGTGCCAGAGATGAGAAATCTCCTCTTTCCTGGTGTCAGCCCTTATTCCAAAAGTGAGAAATGGGAGCATTTCTGCTCCTATAAGCAGACATATGAATAATAAGGCAAATGGCTTTTGAAGCTCTGCCAAGATGCCTGCTTGTGTGTACAGGGAGAAACTTCATGGAGTGCTGGGCTCTGGCTCCTGAGATCCTTGAGTGAGAGCAAAGGAGACAAGTGCAGTGTTACCTCTGCAATCAGGGCCAGGAGCTGCCAAAACTTCTTAGCAGCAACGTGTGAGGCTGCAAGTGTTAATGCAAATGCAGGTTAGAGGGATTAACTGCACTGAAAGTTTGCTTGTAAAAAAAATGTAGGGCTGGGGAAGCTGTAGTTTTATCTTTCCTCCCTTTTCACTCCTTCTCCGTGGTAGCAGTGCACATCTGGCAAGAGCATTGATATCCAGACATCCAGCTGGGATTCAGCAGCCACCACTGCAGCCCGTGGGTGATTGCTCTGCCTGCATCAAGCAGGGGAGGTCCTTGCACCTTCATCTGCTCTGTGGAGCCCACAAATTCCCCCTAATTTCAATACATTGATAAAATGGGTTCCAGGTAAAGCTGAACATGCAGAGTGTGACTCAGGCTGTTCAGGATGTGGGGGTAGAAAAGGGGACCTTGCTTGAGCAGGCAGGTTCTTTCCTCCTGTAAATCCCCAGCTCTGTCCCTCTCTGATGTAAAACAAAATAGTTTCAAGAAAAACAAGATTTATTGTCACGGACCTTCCTCTTCCTCTTGCCAGTGCATCAGCAGACAGCACATGTATCAGAGTAAAAGAATTCAGTATTTTTTTCAAGGCAGAATTAAGTTCTGGGTATTTTTACACCTTGGAAAGTGACTCTGGAGAGTGTGACATGGCAGTGGGCTGGTTGCTGCCAGGAGCCTTTGGGTGCTTTGCCCTGCCTACATCATTCCCTGCACACATCATTCCCAAAAGCACACGGGCTAATGGCATTAAACATCCACTGATAGCAGCTCACCCTATCTCTGCTATTTATTATATTGTAATCTCTCCTTCTGGCTGCCTCGCTCTCCCCTTTTCAATCCAGTATCTCACTTGATAAGGTATCGAATTCCCCATCGCCGGCCAGCGAGGAGTTTACAAACAAACCTGGGTGGAGAGTGCTGCTCCCAGAACGGCCAAAGCCACAACAGAACCAAGGAACCAACGGGGCTGAGAAAGCTCCTGCTGATCCCAGGGATTCCTGAGGGCTGGGGGGAGGCAGGCTGCTGAAACCCTCCTGACAGCCACCAACACCAGCCCCTGACGTGGGAGCCCAGAGCTGCCTCTGTCCCCCAGCCTGGACACAGCCTTGGTGGAGAACAGGTCCCACCTCAAAGGAGTAATTCATTCAGGAATAAAGGGGGAGAAAAGCAGGCATTATGTGAGTCTGGCAATTACTTGTGAAATCCTGGTGAAATCTCATTAAATCACCGAAAAGAAATCTTATTGACTTAAAATTGTGTCAGTATTTCATCCTATTGCATGGTGCTTTCAAGCCTGCAGAACACTCACTTCTCCGTTATTTAATGAAGATGAAACTGGGTGGGAATGAAGACCATCAGCCTCCTGTGTATGATGTCCAAGCATCATCTCAGAACCCCAAATCCACCCAAATGGAACAAGCAGGACCCTTATCTTAACCACAGAGGTCAACAGTGCTTTGTTTTGCAATTCCAGCCCAAATGCTCTGAGCTAATTCTGCTTCATACACAGAATTTTCCTAATACAATTTTAATTTTTGCCTGAAATCAATCTCCCACTTCTCTCTTTCCACAGACATTGTCTCTCAAGGAGCACCACCCTTTTCTCTTGCCACTGCTGATGGAGCAGAATCAGGTTCCCATCTTCCTGCTTAACATTTCTTGCATTTTATTAATGGCAAAGGCTTCTGTCATTACTCACACCAAATTACCTTGCTTAGACACACAGGATTTGTCTCTAGCACTACAATTCTTTCAAGGCTTTTAATATAAAAGCAAAATAAATTTTACTGAAGAAAGGAAAAGAAAACCCACCCTAAACCTTGGAAATATCCTTTCATTTCAAAGCCCCACCAACCAAAAGCAAGAAAACCAGAGAAACTTCTCCTCTCTAGTAGTAAAAAGTATTTTTACAAAATGTTTTAATGCTTCTAGTGTGTTATTTTTCTAAGTCAAAATAGCTAAGCTAAATCTTTCACCATAGCTCTTTAATTCAAAAGCCAGGGGAAATTTTTTTCATTAAACCTCTGGACGGCTTTGTTTAAAATATGAAATCAAGTAGCTCCATTTCCTGTCTTCTAAGGAACAGTAAATCAAAAAGAGAACGTTCTCCAAAAATATAGTAATGTTTCTATTAAAGAGCTTGACAGTTTTGAGCCTCACCTTGCACATTGCAACATAAGTGTGAGCAAAAACAGCAGAGCCAAGAGGAGGGGAAACGACCTGCCGATTTTAATTGATAAAAGATGCGCCCTGATCCATGGCATGCCTTGACCCTGCGTGATGTCAGACCCTGAGGAGCAACCAGGAGGGACAGAAGGGTTGCTCATCACCTGTCCTGCTTCTCCTGGCTTTTCCAGAAGCAGGAGTGGACTCTGGAGGGACTCTGGCTGGTGACCACAGCAACGCCTCGGCCGGGAGCGGGAACCCCCGGGCGTGAGAGGAACCAGGGCATGGAAACTCCTGGCCCAAAGCAGTGAGTCAAACTGCACATACCTCGTTTGAACATGAAAGGTTGAACTTTCCTACAGGCTCTGCCAATTCCCTTCCCTGCCATAACTGGGAATGCCACAAAGCGGCCGCTCTGAGCACTTGAAGGGGAATCCGGGTAAATTCTTTATTTCAGTGTGGAGAAGCATCATCCCCCTGACCTGCCCTGGATCTGCTGGGTCTGTGCTCCTCTCCTGTGCATGGCTCACAAGCTGCCACCCCTCTCTCCCACAGCACAGCAGCTACCAAGGGACAGAAGGCTGGTACACCGAGGTGTGAGCATTAATTATTGCCTTTGGAAACCACGGCAGGAGCCACAGCCTTTGGAGTGACTCTGCTCCCTGTCATCCTCCCTCCCACAGGGCTTCTTTTTTTCCAGAACCGCTCACAGTTCTGCTATAAACAGGACATTACTCACCAGCTCTGTATCCTGTGAG